TATACTGAACAGCAGTAAAAGAGAAGCGGATGCTTAAATTTCTTTTAAACACTCAAACAGACTTCATTCCCAGTTTAGATGTCAAAGGATGGGAGGGAGGGCCAGGGCTGTAATTCATCTTGATTTGCTTCATTGTCCCACAGTTTGCAAACCATAATCCTGTATAATTTCAGGAACAAGCAGGTTTAGAATTAATGGGTCAATATTATTTAAAACAAAACATGGGGAGCATGACCTTTGTCTCAGCTACATATTACTAGACAAGATTCAGGAAACTCCACTCTAACCTCTCAACCTCTGGGCCCTTTGAGAAACTGAAGGACTGTGATTATTAGAAATGGTCTTTGTTTCTTTTAATGTCTCAAAAGGATTTAGAAATAGTAATGCAATATAACATGAAGGATCTCTCTACTTAAGCCTGAAAGATAAACGTGAGGCCTAAATATTTTGAACTAGAGGTGTTTCCTTGTAAACTTATTATAGCTGTACTATTCCTTTTGAGAGGAATGTATATAAACTGTACACATATTCTTCTCCAGAACAACTTACTGGAGGTGCCAGTTTTCCCCCCTAAAGAAGTAAACTTGAAAGTCATTTCAAGATGACTTACTTTCTATTTTTTTTTCTTCCTTCTTGCTCTCATATGATTTGCTTGCAATAATGAAATCCTCTGGGTTTGAGCCAAAGAAAAATCTGAGAGACAAGACCAGACACTTTGAAGTCTTTTTCCTGGGAGTGCCTTTTTAAAAAGTTTCTGATGAATGGCTATAATTTACTTCTACCAAACTTAAGTACTGTTGTCTTCTGTGTTTAAGTGGGCAGGGAGAAGGGACCCATTTAGGAAGCAGTGGCTGAGAACTCCTGGGAAGGTGACAAAGGGCAGAAAAAAATTCAGACCAATTTGTATGCAGTATATTTTACTCCCATGAAATAAAACACATTTTTCATATTTGCTGAAAAGTAAAACAATAATATTGTACGAAATGTTATACACAGGGTAGGTTGTACATAGCAGTTTCAGAAACATCATTGCATCCACCAGAGAAACTATTCTAAAACTGATATTCACACATTTTTAATAATAATATGTTAGAAACATACAGTGTGGCATTTAGTATATACATTCCCTTGCTCATAAGCGAAAAATCCTAATCGCTTCTGTATAACATGCTTTATTTTAAAGCCTAACCTTTAAAAACACTGTTGTGATATTACTAACAACTGCTTTTATAAAATTAATTTGACCATTCGATATATATACATCCTTTCAGTCATTTCAATGTTAACAATGCTAAACTTAAAAAATAACAAGCATATAGTAATGTTAAAATGTCATATCCAGTCAAATGTTTGTGTATGTGTGTGTGTATATACATATATACATACATACACACACACATTCATATCTGTGTGTCCTTGCAACTGTTGTTGGAAATACTTTTAGTGAAAGATGTCACACACTGAGGAAATTCCTTTGAATTCAAAGGAGCTCTCTCTTTAATTCAGTGGTTTCCTTTTTTCTATCTTCTCTCTCTCAATCTCTTAGTGCCCACGACTTTCTACCATAATTCCCAATCTTTCAAAGTTGAAGTTGCCCTATCTGGCAAGGTCCTAGGATCTGAGTGTTGTGGGTACGGTTCACACAGGCCGGTCCACCGCATACTGACAAGCACTCAAGTTGGATGCTGGGTTCTGCACGCTTGCGTAGCCAAAGCTGGAGTGCTGCTTTGCTTTCAGTCTCAGACTGGCCAGGCTCGAGTTACACGTGTCCCTATAAACGTATGGAGGAGTCGGCGGCGCATAAGGGCAGGCTGGCGTCGGCACCGCTGAATTCAGCGACGGGCTGCTCAGGTTGTTCAAGTTATTCAGGCTGTTGAGGCTGGAACCCGGAACGCCTGTCACTGCTGAGGGCACCATGCTGGACGACATGCTCATGGATGAGATGGAATTGGGCGGGGAGAACATGCTCTGCGAAGACAGGGGGTTGACGTTCATGGAGTTGAAGAAAGGGAAGCTCTTGGTAGACAGGGAGGCTGATGTAAGGCCCTTAGCTGCCCAGTTGTTGTAGGAATAGCCGGGGTACATGTCGTCGTAGGGCTGCATGAGCCCATTGAACTGTGGCCCGAAGCCATTTTTGCACAGCTCAGCCTGTTGGTTGCGCTCTCGCTTTCTCCATTTGGCCCTGCGATTCTTGAACCAAACCTGCGCGTGTGTGGGGGAGGACAGGAGGGAACAAGGGAGCAAAGAAACGCCACCACGGATATTAGTCAAACCTTGATTTCAGAAATCACCCCAAGTTACCCCCTTCACAACACACACACACCCCTTGCTGTTTTTCTATTTCCTCTCCTTCCCCTCCCTCAAGCAGCTGGTGTCTGTCCCCACGAGATTCTAGCATAGCATCTGAGTCTTTGTGCTTCACCACAAACCCCAGCAGAAGGCCTGGCAGCCTGTGGGCGGCCTGATCACTAACCCAGTTCCTCCGTGCCCAAGAACATTTACTGTAAAATAAATGCTGGCAGCCGGCTTTCTGCCCAACCTCTGCTGGGTCACCTTGTAAACCTTCTTCCATTCCAAAGCCACAGCCCAGAGATGAGGACAAGAGGCACCAGAGGCCCACTCTCTCTCATATACCTCCTCCCAACTTCGTTAGGACCTTGACTGTAGCCCCCAACCTTCTTAAACGAGTGTCCTCCACAGGGACCGGGCCTCAATCCAGGCCCACCTCCCCGACAAAGCAAAACAATCGAATACAAAACAAAAGACCACTTCCCCAACAGCTTAACCAAGAATTTAACGTGTAAATATCCAAGAACCCAGAACGGGTCTCTCTACAGGCGCCTTCTCCCTTAGCCCGACTCCTTTTCACCCTTCACTCACCCCCAACAGGCCTGCGCGTTCGGCCCAGCTCTAGAAGGACCCTTCACCACCATTGGACAGGGTAGGAAGTTACCCCAGCCCGCCTGCCCTCACCCACGACTTTTGGCCCCGCCGCAAACCCATTTCCAATCCACATTGGGCCCGCCGGTCGCCCCAGACAGCGATTTTTGTGTATTGGAGCAGGCCTGGCCCGAGATCTCAGAGCTGACACCGGTGATGTTTCACATTACACATCTCCGCTCGGTCCAGACGCCTAATCCGCTCCCCGCCTCCTGTCTTTTTTCTTTCATTCTGGTTTTCTTTTTGTTCCCCTTCCTTCTTGCAAACGACTGCTATAAAAAGCCCGCCTCACTCCCACTTGGCTGGACCCGCAGCGGTTCTGAAAGGAGGTTGTTTGAGAGCGCGAACTGAGCGCGGCGGCAGCAAGGGGCCAGTAAGGGGATGCCGAGTTCGAGCGGGGGAAGGAGGGCTTTTCCGAAGGATTCCGGAGAGCACGCAGATTGTTTTTATTTTAATTACTCTTCATTTCTACCCTCTGCCATCTAAACTTTGCTCAGGCGAGAAGCGTACGTGCGCGGCGCGTTCCCTTCAAGAGCCAGCGGGCTAATGAAAGATTGACCTTGCGCAAAACCACCACGCGGCCCCAACCCTCGCCCTCACTCCATAGTTAAACTAAAACCATTTCCAGTATCATATCTTGAGCAGCAAACTCACACGCACAAATGCCACCCACAGGGCGCTTTGATTCTCTCCGCTTTCGGTATGCATTTGGTCTTTATTCTTCTCACTGTTGTTATATTTTGCTCTTTGCTTTCTCTGACCTGACTGGGGATTTATTTTGCTTCTGTAGAGCACCATAAACGAGTATATACATACACACACACACTCACAAATAACAACCTCTGGATCCTCAGTGTCTGTTTGCTGCATCCAGAATCCTAACAAATTGGACTTCTCCACCGACCAGCAGAAGCTAGGATATTTCTGTCGTGTAACTTATTTAAGCTCATTTTTGCCAATCCGTAAAGAACAGATTTGCTGCAAAGTTAAGGTAAGCCCCCTCTTTTTTTTTTTTTTAAATAAAACTATGATTATATTTAGAGGGGATGTGAGAGACAAAATTCGAAGTGTTCAACTGCTGAAACAAGATAAAGAATCCAAACAAAGATTTTCTTTCTTTCTTCCCTTCTCTCTTTCTTATATTCTAAAAGACAAAAACAAAAACCTCCGAGAAGAGTAGTGCTTGTGTTTTAAAACTTTCCTTCTGGGGAGATTACAAAAACGTGTGAGAGGGACTACCTAAATGGCCGAAAAACCTCAAAGACCTTGTAGGGAGGGCGAGTTGAGAGGAGAAAAGACCGTGGCGTTTCTTGCAGGAATATTTACCAGAGAGAACCAATCCTTGAGTGTCTCTGTCTAATTTTCCTTGTTAAAGGTGAACAGGTTGGAGCCTGTTCTCGTCTCCTGGCCTGGGAGGAATTTTCTTAGCGCTTGCCTGGCGACTGCACGCCCGTTAACAAAAACTCCTGTGTAGGGGAATGTCCACGCGGTTCAACCTGGTAGGGCCCGTGGTACCCAAGCAGTGTGCCCTGGCGTCTCTGAGCGCCTACACAGACGAGCCTCAGAAGGGAGGCTACAACCCTCCAACCTGGGCCGCCGCGTGGCGCCTTTCCAGGCAGCGCTGCCTTCCTCACTCTCTCGTTATCTACAAGGTGTGCTCCCACCCCCTGCCCTTCCAGGCTCCGTGCGAGTTCCTACCCGGACTCGGGCTTCTGTGAGGTTGGTCCACACGGCAATTTCTTCCCGCGTGGACATGTCCGGGTAGCGATTCCTCTGGAACGTCGCCTCCAGCTCCTGCAGCTGTTGGCTGGTGAAGTGAGTCCGCTGCCGCCGTTGCCTCTTCTTCTTGGACGGGTCATCGGTGCCCACATCTTCATTCTTCCCCTGTTGACTCTTATCTTTCTCTGAAAACGAAACACATTGAGGCCCTTCGTCAGTAAGTCTCACTGCAACCCGCGAACTGCAACTGGACTTGGTGGCAGAGGACCCCGCAAAGCTGAGTGCCTTTGGGGGGAAGAGGGGGGAGGAGTTCGCCACCCGGGGACTGCAGGAAGCTCAGCTTTTATGGGGTGTGCAGACGTGAGGCTGAGGGTGAGTAAGCACTCTCCCCTTCTTCTCCCCTCCCCCAGCGCCTCAGGTTTTATTTACATGTTTATCTCGGTTCGGAGACACAGTCATTTTTATAGCCCTTGCCTTCGAGTATATTTTTACACCTCTTCGTAGACACATCAATTCTCCCCAGACACGCACACGTGCGCAATTTACAGACCACCCCTGATAAAAGGTCACATTGCGTAGCGTTTTCGGAAAACTAGGAAATGTTGATACTGGGATTCGATTAGGGATTCAAGCCTCTGGCCCCTTAGAAAAAGAGCCTTTTCGCAAAGAACATTTTGAGGTGGGTTTTTAGAAATGCTGAAAGCCGAGAGAACGGGGACAGAGAGGAAGGGCAGATCCTAAGCAAACTCGAACGGAGATGCTGGGATTTGGGGGGATACGGCAAATTGCCGGAAAGCCAGCGCGGCAGAATTGTTTGCGCCGTCTGAGCTGGGTCACCCAGTTGAGGCAGAGGAGAAAGGGACCGTGGGGTTCTGATAACCACGGCGCTAGATGTTCTGTGGACAGCAAGCGGGACTCCCACCACGCCCCCCTCTACTCTCCCCCCCAGAAGGCGCCTAGAAGGGAGAGGCGTCTGCAGCGCAGGGAGTTAGGGCAGGGACATCCGCAGGTTGGTGTGGTCTTACCTGCGACTTCGGGGCTGGAGGTGTCCGAGATTGTGTGCACCTCCAGCCTGTGCTTGGAGGAGTCCAGGGAGCGGGGCTGCCCCGGAGCCAGGACTGAAGCCATGGCTAGAGGCTGGGAATGGTGACAAGAAGAGGACAAGGAGGCGGCCGACAGCTTGGTTCCTGCTGCTCGGTGCTCCAAGTGCAACGGACCTTTCATGCAGCCGCTTACGAGTCCCAGGCTCTCGCCCCACCGAGCCCCAGTGATCGCCGCCGCCTGCTCTCCGTCGCACTCGGGGCACGAAGTTTCCCCGCCGTGGCCGCCTCGGGCAAAGCCAGGGGACTTGCACAACCCAAAAGCAACCCCCGCTGAGTCCTAGAATTGAGCAGCCCCCTTCTCCTCCGGAAAATTCCAGCGAAAAAGTCCAGCAGCCGAGAGTCAGCGATCAAACGGAGACATGAGAATGTGGGCAGGAGGACAGTGCTCGGAGGGTCTTTGGGGAACTGGCTTTCGAGCTCCAAAGCGAATCAAGAGTGGGCAAAGACCCTTTTCCTCTCTCCCGCCCTTGCCCGAGCACCCTTCCAATAAGGAAAGCTGACGCCAAACGCTCTGAGAAAGGCAAACTCTGCCCGTCTTCTGCGCGGCAGCCCTGAGGCGAAGTGTCAAGAGTGACAGGGACAGGTAGCTGATATAAGATCTCCCGCGATGGCGGCGGCTGTAGCGCGGGCCTCTGGGAGCACCCTCCGCGGGGCGCACACGCACACCCTTCGGTGGCGCGTCGAGTTCGAGCTTACTCTGGCCTCAACTCAGCTCAGGGCACCCAGGCGAGCGACGGACTAGCTCTGAGGCTCCGCGCTTCCCTGTTGGCCTAACATCTTAAAACCAGAGGCGGGCTTCCTGGTGCCGAAACGTCACTGTACAGCGGCCCTCTCCAGCCCTCCCCGCCTCCACCTCCTCCTAGACCCTTAGCCGGTAGGAGTGACGTGGCTACACACCAATCAGGAGGCTTCAAGCCGAGGCGGAGGGACGGTCCTGCCTGCACCTATCAGCAGTGCGGGGCTGAGTTAATTCCTCGCTGTGCCCACCAGGTCTACACTGGCCGGCTCCAGGAATTTTGCTCCCGCCCGACCCAAGGCTTTTTAGTTCGGGCGGGGAAGTGGGGAGATGAGACTAGGAGTAGAAGCCTTGGAAAAGGCGCAGAAAGGTCCAGGGCTGAAGCGAACAAGAATTAACAAGGCAGCCCAGTTTCCCTTCGCTTTAAGTCTCTCTACATCCATTTCCAGTCGAGAGCTTTTTGCTATGTAAAAAGGGTACATGCTACTTTAAAACCTAGAAAATTAAAAAAATAAAAATAAAAACCAACCCAACAACGAATCACTTCTCCAATCTTACATTTTCTAAACAGCGTGTAAAGTGAATGCTGTGCTAATCTGAAGAAGCTTTACTTTAATTGCAAAAAAGACAGCCTTGAAAAGGCTGGTTAATAAATTAGAAATCGAGAAGAAAATGGATCCGTCAAAAGAAAACTGCCTTGATTTTAAACGAACAACTGTGCATGATTCACTCTGGATTTATACAAGAATAAAATGTCGCCTCAGACCGCGTTCTCTGTGATGCTTATTAGTCTGCAGACAGAAGACACACAATGGAACAGAAATCCTAATCCAGCTTTTTCAGAATGCTGAAAGATTATCCATTCTACTTAAAGTTGATTAAGACACATATCCTAGATCTTTCAAATTCCTTGTACACTGACTGTATTAAGCTCATCCTAACCCAAAAGAGGGCCACGCTTTAAATTTCCACCCTCGTTTGCTTTATTATCAGTCAGATTAAAATTCATAGAATCAACAACCTTGAGCTAATTATATATGAAATATGCTTTAATAAATTCCTGTACGATTACAGGAATTTATACAATGTTTCCAAATAACCAATTTCAAGGATACTTTTTTAAAAGTCATTTTCTTTTTCTAGGAAGTTCAAGGCTGTCTTGAATTATTAGTATCCATGTGAGGCTGAGCAGTAGGGTGTGGATAAAAGGAAAAAAAGTCTAGAAGAGCTCATTTAAGAACAGCAAAGTCATATGCATTTAAATAAAACAAAGATAAATCACCTTTCAGGAAAACAAACTCTAAAAGAGATATTTCCAAAGAAATGGTGTCCAAAGACATCATTCAAAAGAAAAGTCCTTTTGCCCTCTAGTTTAGGTCAGCTGGAGAGCACAACCTAATCTCCTTTGAGTTTCTACATTGGCGATTGTTTTATTGTAGAGTTAGTGTTATCATCCCTGAATGTGTATTTGTTTGACATTACAGTCAATGATTTGCAACACCAGCATTAGGTATCTTCAGAAAGCCTCCTCCTTGTCCTTGTTCACAAGATTGGGAACCATACTTAGTCTGGGGCAGAGTGGACGAAATACACTGCAAATGTTTGTAACCTATGTGTCTCCCTTTTGTCCTTCATTCCACCCACCCCCACAAAAAGAAAAAAAAAAAAAACCTTATCTGTAACCCCTCCTCTATTTTAAACAGGCTTGGGCAGTCCTTGGAACCAAATGAGAATTTATTTGTTCTCTAGTCTTTCCTCACAAATATCATCCCACTTTAAAAAGAATTTAGTTGCAAGTAAGAATTTTCTTCATAGCAACCTTTAAATCATTTCTGGCTTTAACCTTTATTCCAGTCCTCCCACTACATACACACTAACGCACTACACACACACACACACACACACACACACATACACACACACACCTGGTCAGAACAGAACACTTGCCCTGTGACAGGTTTGCACTAGCTAAGGCTCATACATTCAGCTATATTAGGTCCTGCAATCTTATCACTAAATTATACATATTACACCAGCAGCCTGTTGTTAAAGAAGGTTAAATTAATTTACATTCTGCTCATTATCTGGTGCTTAAATGACGCATTTTATCCCTGAGATTTGGTGGAGAATCTCCTTCTCAGACCCCACAGCATTTCACTGAAGACAATGCTCTTATATTTGTAGTGGTTTTTAATCTGATAAGACTCTAATTTGCTTAAGTCTTTTAAATAAGGGTTCGAAATGTTTCTAGCTATTTTCTGATTGAATTTCTTTTAATTCCCCCAAGATCATAAAGCATATGTGTAAAGTAAATATTTCCTCCCCGTCGATGACCTACAACTAAGTCAATATGAATCTAACTCTATTTTGCCCAATATGTTTACTAATCATACTCCAGTTTCTTCTTTTAAAACTCTACATAGCTGTGGTCCCACAATACCATGCTCCTAAAGCTTCCTTTTATAAGACTCAATCACATCAAATGATGAAAAATACACCACCGCAGTGAAACCCTTTTCCTTGTTTCAAGATTCAAACCTCGGATCTGCGAACTTTGGTGGAGGTTTGGAGTGTTTTTTCAAAATTTTAGCAAGCTGAGAAACACTTCAGTCATAGAGATTTCTAAGCTGTTCCCATCTCTCAGTAAACCCACAGAATTTTTATTTAAGCTCTTGCATCATGGCAAATACACAAGTATTAAGGTCCTCAACCAGTCTCGGAAGTGAATGAAAAACTAAGGGCAAGTGAGAGCACCTTATAAAACCAAAGTGTAGGAGAAGTTGAAAGTTCCGATAATCTGCTGACAGCCTAAAACAATAAGGAGTATCAAGCCATCACAAAGTTAAGGAAATAATGAAGACAATTATCTGAAGAACTCAGATGAATATATCTATATATCCCCTTAGTTCTCCGGACAACTGAGTCAAGGTGATGATTTTCTTGGCATTTTCCAGCCAGAGTTTAAATTCCTAATCAATTTTGCACACTCTAAACAACAACAAAACCCAAACCCACTGCCATGGGGTGGCTTCCAGTTGATAGTGGCCCTATAAGTATAAAATCCATGAGTGTGAGTCGTACACTCTTGGGAATCAGCATTGGCTGGTACCTTTCTCTGTCGGGGACCAATGGGGCTCACTCTCTAGGAGGCAGAAGGATATCAACAAGATGGGGAAAAGGAAATATGTAGTGGACATGAAGTAACACTTTTCAATGAAAACCAGTAGTGAGTGATGAACAACTTTGGAGATCTAATCTGCAAAAGGATTGGGGGCCAGACATGCACTGCATTGATGAGGAAAAGGTATGAAGTAATGATGTCTTATGCATTTTGTGGATTAAGTTC